ATTGTTCCTGAAGAAACCATGAGATATCCCATCAGTATATCTGCCACCCATAGGAATTTCAAGCTGGCTCCCAAGTATTTGGGTTACTCCCTAATCTTAAGTGTTTCCTGATTATCAATCAGTTTCCTGAGATGGTCCAAACCAGATAACCCCTTGTCAATAGAAAAGACAATGATTTACACTACTGAGGGTGCTTCAAAGCAGCTGAACTGAGGGTATAAAAATCTGTAAGTGTGTGTGCTGCTAGAGGGAGAAGAGGAAGAGGAAAAGGAAGGAAAAGAAGTAGAAGCAGGAGGAAAGAAGGAGAAGAAGAAAACCCCTGTGCTGACACCATCCCCTGTCGTTCTTGGGACGCTGGAAGAACAGATCATCTCTCTCTTCAAGGATTGTGCTACGGACTGTGCCTGTCAGCTTTGCAGCCTGAGTACCGTGGACTAGGTGAGATCCCAGCGTTCTCTGTCTTCTTTCTAGGCATAAACTTCTGAACCTGAACTGTATCCGTTAAGCTTGAGCTAAGTTTCCCCAAATACTTAGTGAAACCAGGGTAGTATTGTCATTGTTGGTGTTTGTTTTTCTTTTGCATGTCTATTACTACTAGTACTATTACATATGTCGTATGCTTAGCAATAAATAACTTTTATAGTCAAACTGGTAGTAATTGGGTATATTTTTCCTTCTCTGCTTCTCTTTCCTCCCGTGCTCTGCAGCAACGCTTCTTTTACCTATGCTAAAGATCCCTGTGAAGCCCAAATTATTGTGGGGTCTGCTCATCAAGAGGCCAAAGATTGGGACGTGCTGAGTTTGAAACACATAAGGGGATCAGCTTGTACAGGCTGATTGACCCAGTTTGACTCAGACGTGCCCTTATGAACTGAATGCTGGCCCATGAGGGTGTCAGCTGGACACCCAGCCGGATTCAGAGGGATTCTGTTTACCTGTGTGCTTGTGTCTGACTGCATTTTATTGTTGCTCTTATGAACTGATTCTTGGCATATGAGGGTGTCAGCCTGTCCATGCTGATCAGCCCGGCCAGGTCAGGCGTGTCACGTTAATTTGTGTGTGTTTGTGTGTATGACTGATTTGGTGACTGGAGGAACCCAGCCCATTGAGATTGAGTCCTGCAAGATAGCTCCACTGGGGGTGAGGGCTTGCAGAAGGGAGAAATACAGCTCCGTATAGTAACACAAGCAGCACATTGACAGAATCACCAAGACCCTAGAAACTATCCCTAATAAATGAGCACACTCCAAAGTAATGGGCAGATTTGGTAACAATGTAGACCCTGTCAGTGTCTACACATGCAGTGTGGTGCACTAAATAACACTGCCAGAGGACAGTACTTGTGTTTACAAGTACTTACCTGCAGCAGTATTTATTTTTTACTGCGGCCTAATAGGGCCACACGTGTAGACGCTGAGACTTTACTGAAGAGCTAATCAGGCAACTCTGCAGTAAATGTCTCATGTGGGTACACCCACAGGCATGCAAGCCTCAAGACAATCTCATAAATTGCACACCAGTGGCAATCCTACAGTTCCCTTTTCCTGGCATTTATTTTCACTCTGCTTTCTATTGCTTGGAAAAAAGGCAAGACTGCAAGGAGAAGGAGGTAATATGTTGGTGGATACCTAGAAGGGCCTCACAAGGACATTGTGGTATAGCTAAGGAAGGGCCTCACAAGGACATTGGGGTATAGCTAAGGAAGGGCCTCACAAGGACATTGGGTATATCTATTTGAAAATTAAGAAGTGCCACCTGGACAGCATTAAAGATTGTTACAGGGTATGATGTAGGTGGAGAAGGGGGGCAAATATGGTTCGAGTTGGCTAAGGACAACATTAGGGTTAATTCTAAGTATCAGTTCCTTCCTGAGTTTCAGAAACTGGGATTGTTGGAACTGTATATGCCTTAGCTAGGAGATCATATGGTATCTGCAAAAGACTAGGTTATAAGTTATTGTGATCTGGGAACCTATAACTAAACTGATGACTGGTTAAGATTTTCAGAAATGTCTCATGATTCTGATTGCATTAATTTGTATGAAGCCTGTTCAAAATATCTAATGAAGGCCTAGTTTTCAGACAGCAGGCCCTTAACAGTTTCTGAAGAACAAGCCCTCTTAAAGTATCTTAGACTGGGGACTCAAAAATTCATACATCCAAAAATCAATACTCACTTGAGTCTCAGCTCTTTCCCCAGTCACTGGTTCATAGCTTTATAGTGAAAAATATATCATGGGCATCTGCTTCCATAAACAAAAGATAAACATGTGCTCTCAGAAAATTTTAAACTTGGGAAAAACTGATCACAGATTGATGACAGCTGGTTACAGTTACATACTTTGTCAGACAAACTCCTGCTACCTCTCATTAAAACAGCTGAAACCAAGTATCAGGGGGGAAAGGAATCATAGGCTATTACCAGTGGTGTCATGAATGAAGCCATCTGTGAACACTGTGAAAATAAACTGTGACTGCCTTGGGAGGGGCAAGAGCAGTAAATATTTACTTAGATTATTACATACAACTTGTATCCAAGGCCTGATGTCATTATTTACAGCCAACTTAACTTTTCTACCTTGTGGGAATCATTTCACACACACTTTGCAGGAAAAGAAAATCCCTTGTCTTTTGGTTTCATCTCAGTGTTCTGCAAATAAATTGACCCTTAAGATCACAGTGCTTCTAGGCAACGCACACATCCTCAACTATGAACCTATTTTGCTCCTGTAACCAAGCTGCAATCTTCATCCTGTTGGCCTCTCTTTTTCTTCCATATCTCTTAAAGGTCTGTGAAACTGCCTGTCACCACATACATTCTTTGCTCATCTCCTACCATCTCTTCTAAAGCCCACACCTGGAGGGTTTTTGATTTTTCATTTGTTTTTTAACTCTCTGATTACTTGAATTAATGTAACATCCTCCTCTATAATCCTTCCCAAAACATAATTTCTCTATATGCCTCAACCTGCACACAATCTTTTCCTTTTTCTCAACTTCACCTTAAGCAATTCTAGTGTTTCAACTCCATTTCAATATGCAATTTGAAACTGTCTTCCTTATTTATAAAAAAAAACATTTATGGACTTATTTAGTTAATTTAGAAGCTACCCCTTTCACCACTCTATTCATTTAATAAGGAGTCCTGGGCTCTTTATATAATCTTGCCATTCTTAGCAAAAACATGTCTTTTCCTCTGAAACAGGTTTTTTTGCATCTTCTCTTTGGACTCCTCACCCTGTGCATTTTTCAAATCAGCAACTAATCTTTTGCTCTGTATTTGAAAAGTGTCTAGTAAGAAATGACCCTTATCCCCAATTAGAGCCCATTACTGTTACTGTAATGCAAATGATTAATAATAAATTTAAAATCATGCATCCTCCTTTTTCCCTTTGTCTTCTTTTCCCAAACCATGTCTCAGTAAACAGTACCATTTAGATAACTGTTTTGTTTCAGTAATTATTTTGTTCAAAATTACTACTGAAAATATATTAAAAATATTCAAAAACCTGAAAAATAACTCTGTTTTGAATCCTGTGAAATAGAAGCAACTTTGACAATTTGAAATGTCATGGGTTTTTTTTTAAATCATTTCACTATTAATAGTTTTACAGCCAAAGTCTTAAAGTTAATCCTTCCAGTATGAGCATACACCTGCAGTCTGACTGTATTTGAAGGTAATATAACCAGAACAAGGATGTTGCAGCCACATCATTTTCTGTCCTGGGTACTTCTATTCTTTCCATTTAATTCTTTCTGCTGTTTCACTGAGATACAGTTCAGAATGCTGGTGTGATAATCTGGTTCATTTCCTGTTCTAATCTGTTTATACTTCTGCTTTACAAACTGTGCGTGCGTGCGTGCATGCGTGTGCGCATGCGCGCACATGCACATGCTGCTATGACATTCAGAGTATTAAATGTATTAATATATTAATTAAATATCTATGCAAATTTATTTACTTTTATATTTATTTATAAACACAATGTAAATATGACCTGGTAAGAAAACTATGAGAGTTTAAGGCAGGTAAGAATGTAGCACAGGTTCTTTACCAAATATAACACTAAACCGTAAAGGTGGTGGCAGTTAGCATTACTCATCAAAGTAAGTGCTCAGTAAAACTCATTAAATTTAGGCCAAGTGAATCTCCATCTTCTTTTTTCAGAGAAATGAAAGCTAAAATGTCTGTATAATTTAGGACTTACATTATGGTTTATAAATGTTGGTTTCTCTCAAACCTGGAGTTATTTATTCAATTTAGGAAATGATCCTAGTCTATAATTGCTGAAGATAAAAATCGTTCATGGATAAAAGGACATGTAACAACCAGTATACTGAATTTCAGAAACAGATTGGCATTAGATATAATACCTGTTATAAGGTGTATTTGAATACTGAATTGGGTAATGTGAACTGATTACTAAATCATACAAGATGAACTGAATGTGTTTCTTATATATCTCTGGGAAAAATACTGTTTTTACAGCGTGGGACAGAAAGGCAATGTAATTTTAAAAATAAGATTCAGGAAATGATGTTTACATTGTAAAGGAAAATGGATTTGGAAATAATACGATCAAATGTAAATATATCTGGAAGCCAATATTCAAACAATTAAATTAGACGTTTCTTCAAATTCATTTGGAAGTATGTGGTCAGTTTAGAAAGTAAGATGGCTACAGTCTACCCCTCCTCCCTTCTTAGCATTGTGCTTAGTTCCATAACTTTTTCAGTTTAGCAATTTCTCATCTTTTGTATCATTTTCATCTTTTCATATTCTTTTTTTTTCAAACGAGTTTTAGTAAATCCTGTCTCTTTCTTCCTCATCTATAAAATATACTACTTTTTTTTTATTCCCACAACCAACAAATTATCACGTCCTTGTGTGGCAGTGTACCTTTGTGCCTGCCACTTTAAGGACTGGAACAGGCAGCCACCTGGTGGCTGATTGCGGCAGCCATTTTCAAACGCAGACCAACTATATAGAGAGGGCAGTTAGCTGCTGGTAAGGGAAACAGCAACATCAGCTGACTGAGATTCTGCTCAGGGATCTGGAGGTGAGGAAAGGGGCAATGGGGAGGTAGAGGCTTGGTTTTGTCCTGGGTAAGATGTGATACTGCACCCTGCCGGGGAAGGGTGGCCTGGTGGGGCTCTTAGTGGTGTGGGAGCACCCGTGAAATGCCAGGCCAGTTACCTCCCTGGTGAAAGGTGGGAAAGGGTGCCTTATCACCCCAGCCCCACATCTCTGGTGGTGTTCCAGCAGAGCAGGGGGAGCCCAGGCTCATTGGGAGCCTTCAGGCAGAGTCCAGGCTAGAGACAGGACCTGGAGCTGTGCCCAACCAACAGGGTCAAGCCTAGGGGTGATGGATAGAGAGACCCTGAAAGAGAGAGGGGCATTGGATAGAGGAAGAGGCCCAGTGGGGAGATGGAAGCCTGGTGAGGGGCCAGGAGTAAAGTAAGCTAATAGTTGTAGAGTCGCTGAGCAAACTTTCAGGTGAGGGCAGCAGGAGATGCCTGACAGACTTTGCCGGGGATGATCTGTCTCTGTCTCTTCCCCCCCACCCCCCCAGGTATCCCAGGTACCCCAAGCACACACATATACACTGTACCATCCAAGTTAGGAACTTACCTGTGTGTATGTGTATGTCATTGTGTGCATTGTATATGAATTAGTGATCTGTGTCTAACTTTTGGGGTGTATAGTGCATGCGCTTGAATGGGATAGGTATGCATATGCCTAGGCTGGTTTGGATGTGTATGTGCCTGAGTTGGTAGTGTGTGTGCGTGTATGCACCTAATTGATTTGTGTGTTTTGTATATGTGCAATTGTCACATTTTCCTGTCTAACATTGCAATATTGATCCTGAGAGTTGGCCTGACCCCACAGGGCAACAGAGGTGTGGAGAGACAAGCCCGAAGCCAGAGTGGCAGGGTGGTATAAGTGTGGCCCAGGAGAGAGGGCAGCATGAAAGAGGCTGGTGAGAGCCAGCGGAGTGAATGGGACCCTGGTGAGAGAGGGGTGGTGTGACAGTGACCCTCTGGGGTAGTCTGGTAGAGCTACAACTGTGTTCCCAATTTGCTCTGGACCTAGGCTGGAGAGGTAATACACAGTGGAGCATTTACAAGGCATGGGTCATTTACAGGGGTGGTTGGAACTTGCACTTATAGCCCTAGTTATCCGGGTGTACAAAAGGTAAGTAATACCTCCCGCTCAAGTATTAGCTGAACTTTATTTTCATCAAGGTGTGGCAGGTGAGTGGAGTAAGCAGACTGCTGAGAGACAGAGGAAGACTGGAGGTGGAGACCTGGCTGCGAAGGTAACCCTGTTATACCCTGGTAATATTTTTCTTGATTACTCTAAGACTAGGGACAGAAATTACATACCAACTATTATGAGTGATGGGAAACTGGTTCAAATGTGTAATACGATAGAAGTTCAGTGCTTATAAACTGCTTTCAAAATGGCCAAAACTGGTTTTAAAAACTGGAACAACTGTGGCATGCAGAAAAAGAAAACTGCAACCTGGTCCTTGACCATTGTAAAAATAAGAGAGAGAGAAATTATGTAAAACTACAGGACTTTTTACAAGACAGTGCTCATATGCTGCTTTTTAGTCATTATGGTGGTTGTTGTTGGTCCTTCCTTCTCTCCTGCATTTTGATGATTAGTATCAAAATAACAAGCTTTTATGCAGCTGAAGTTTATGGGACTGATTCCCAAAGTGTTTTAAAAAAAAAAAAAAGAAAAAGAAAAAAAGCCTCTTATCTTTCAACATCTACATAGCAGTTAGCATATTATGACCATAACACCAATAAAAAAAAAAAAAGAAACTTTTTGAAGAAATCAGAAAAACCATGATGTCAGCATCTCTTTCTTCTGTAGGCCTTTTGGGTTCCACAACAATTGCAACATCCAGACTATTTCTTTATGCATCTTTCTTGCCAAGTGCATTTATAAAACCCTAGTTCATTTGCTGTTATACTTATTTACATATATTTAGTGCTTTTCCAAATGTGGGCATGTGACATTGCTTTTAAAGATATAGTTTAATAATCCATAGGCTAATTGTATACTCTGTTACATAAGTAATTAGAATATGGAGTGGCACTTGATGGACTACTGGATCAATGGAAAAGATATATTAATCAATTCATGGCCTAATCTAGCTATTTCAATCTACTCTGTACAGGCACTGCAGCAGTAAATCTATTGTATGTAGCCAAAAATTATTCCCTCCATTTGGGAAAACATTTTGGTGCTGTACAGTCATTCTTGTAATTGTTTTTATTGTAGTTTGCTTGAAGCTGCCAGAATAGTAACTTGGTCAGAAGAATGCAGCAAAAGGGATCTTTATGCTTAGCAATACCCAACTCATAGAATGGACATTTTTGAGAATGTCTCTTTAACTCCACTGACTTCAATAGCCCCTGTTCTCAAGTTGTATCAGGGCTGAAGGAAGAAACCCATACCATCAACCCATCTTTGCTTCCACATCCACTACAGAAACTGAAGGGAAGAATAAAATGAAAAAGTGCATTTTTCATTGGAATTGTAGAGCTGCAAAAGTAGAAAGCTCTTCCAAATATTACATGGGTAATATCACATGTTGCTTATATATAATCTTTATATATTTACAACCATATATTCATTTTAAGTCTTTTGTTTACTTTAAGACCTCTTAATGCCATATTTTCCTCCATCCCTTCCTTAGCTTTTCCATGTCTACTTGTCACAAATCAGTCAGTCTAGAGCAGAACTGAGCAAGAACTGGGTCACAGGCCGGATATAGCCTGCAGAATCTTGTTATCTGGCCTGTGGGATTACCCATGTGCTAGATGTTGTAGCCAAAGGTGATGCAAAAGGCCTGTGGACCAGGCCCATGTCACTCATCTGGCCTGTGGGACTGGATGATTTGAGCACCACTGCTCTAGAGACTAACCAATTTTTGGGCAGGGCAGGGCAGGATTTGTCTAAAACTTAGATTTCATAGAGGTTAGGGCTGGAAGGGACCTTGAAGATCATCAAGTCCAGCCCCCTGCCCCAGGGGCAGGAAGTCAGCTAGGGTCAAAGGATCCCAGCAAGATAAGCATCCAAACATTTCTTAAATGAGTCCAGAGGAGGTGCCTGCATGACTTCTGGAAGGAGTATATTCCAGGTCTTAGGGGCTCAGACAGTAAAGAAATGTTTTCTTATGTCCAGCATAAAATGGTCTTGGACAAGTTTATGACCATTGGTCCTTATTTTACCTTGGGGCACTCTGGTTAACAGACGTTCCCCCAGATCCTGATGAACACCCTTTGTGTACTTACAGGTGGCTACCAGGTCCCCCCTGAGCCTGCGCTTTTCCAGACTGAAGAGTCCCATGGCATTTCTAATTTAGAAATGCTTAATCATTGTTACATAATTAATATGTGTTGCCAGTAGATCCAGAAATGCTTCTCCCCCTCTGTTCCACATTCATTAGGCCACAGGTGGAGCACTGTGTCCATTTCTGAGCAATGCACTTTAAGAAGGATGTGGACAAGCTCAAAAGGGTGCAGAGAAGGGCCACCCACATGATCAAGGGCCTGGGGGACAGGACTTATGAGGAGCGTCTTCAGGATCTGGGTTTGTTCAGTCTGACTAAAAGAAGGCTAAGGGGTGACATTCCTAGTCATGCCTCTTTGTAGAAACTCTGATATCAGGAGGCTTTGGCTTCACCAGCACTTAATACTGTATATACTTTAGGTCCACATATTTGAAAAAAGTTTGGCAGTTGATTATAACCCTTTGGAAAGATAAGTCTTTGGATATATAATATAATATATTACGCTAATATAAAATATAATATATAGAGAGAGTAATACAATACAAAGATTCTAAAACTTTGGAAAAAATTGGAGGGTACAAAAAATCTGCAGCTCATGGTCTATTATTGTTAATTAGAAAAAATAGAAAAAAAAAAATCAGCAAGACACCTTTTTTCACTTCATTGTCATCTGAGCATGTTTGCAAATCTGCTTAGAATATGTTCCAACTGCTGCTGTTTCTGCTTAGTATTTTCCACAAATATTCTTTTACACAAAGATATATTTGCAGGGCAGTTGATCAAAACAGTTCATTTTAAGCAAAATTTGCAGGATGCTGTGAAAAGTGAGCTTCAAATATATAATTAAAAGTAGCTAGTCTAGAAACTGGTACTCATTTACTTGATTTTTTCAGAGCACATAAATTAACCATTTGAAAATGGTGCCCAATTTTTTTTTATTTATTTATTTATTTTTAATAGTGCATTGTTGGTGAACAATTTGCATGGTAGGAATAAGTCATTGTAATTATTAAGAAAGAAGTGTTCTCTTAATAATGAGAAATGTGTAAAATATAATAACTTGGATTACACATTTGGAAAAAAAAAAATAGAACAAGGAAGAAAAATTTGCAAAATAAAATGCTCTAAACAATTCACTCGTCTTTAAAGATATCCTAGATTAAACAATAGCTCTCTTAGTAAATGGTAACTCTTACTGGCACCATTTATATATTTCTGTACATGTATCCCATAATAATAATAATAATAGCAATAATGATGATAAGCATGGATCATGGTGTACATGTAAGAGGTCTAGTCAGGTGCCTGATGAATTCCCTTGTATGGAGTCCTGTGACCATCATGCCAATACCTTCAAAGGGAACACCTAGGCAAGAATATAGAGCAGTGGAGGCTACCCAAGAGACTTACCATCCCCCTTTAGACCACTGAGGGGGAATCCAAAGGCCACACCAAATGCAGACATTCAGTGGTGTGATGGTAGTAGCTTTTGCCAGATAGCAACAGATAAAACCTGCTGTTTAATTCGTAATGCCTCAGCAACGGCATTTCAGTCAGGGCGATGCCCTTTCTCCAACAAAAGAATGCCCACAAGGCAGTAAGAGCTGGGGTTTTGAAGCACCCTATACTTGCCTTACTTTGGAGGTTGCAACATTGTGGCATTTTGTAGAAGCTATCTGGCCCCAAGCAGCCCCAACATGTTGCCACCAAGCCCTCCAGCTGAATGCAGTTTATGGTTACACCCAGGATGACAAAGTCAATGATACTAATGTAAGCTGCACCCCTGGGCTGCAAAAGGTTAAACAGGAAGAGGTGGAACCATTCCAAAACCAGGAAAGCTAGAACCAGGTAGCTGGGTTGAACTAGGGATCCCAACCTGCCTTGGGAGCTGGCAGGAAGTTACCTCCAGCCAATAGAAGAGGGAGTAGCCAGGGCTATGAAAATCCTGCAAAAATGAAAAATGGGGGTTAATGTTTTTGAACTGCAGCCCCTGGGCTGCTTTGAGAGCTAGCAGAAGTAGAACTGGGAAAGAGGGGCTGCAACATGGGAGCCATTATACTTGGACCCAGCACAATTAGAGCAGAGGACAGGTCTTGTTCCTTGATATGCTCCAAGCACCATTGAAAGAAGTCCCAGGGAGACTGGAAGAGTCTGGTCTGAGTGCAGCTGGGAGAAGGATCAATTTCCCCACAAAGGAGATCCCAGCAGGAACTGAGAGAATAGCACTGAAAAGGCTGCAGAAGTTAGGTGTGCTCAATGTAATTGTGGAGCAGTGGAAGTCCTTGTGCCATCTGGGCCAGCTTGGGACATATACAAGATGAAGGTTCTCAGCCTGGAGGGTCCTTATGAGACTACTTGATGTGGGCTCTAACTTGCATTGTTCAAAGTGGTAATTGTGTTATCAGGTTTCCATACTGGGTTACAGCTTGCTGTTTGGGTACTTATGTGTGAAAATAAATCACACTTGTTTGTACCCACGTGTTAAACTGAGGTACTATCGAGGGAAACTGAGTCACCACTGCTATATACCCAAACCCACTCCCAAAGGGGTTTACTACAACACCATCACTACCACCACAGCAGGGACAAATTTCATTTTTCTTTCTATTATCTAAAAACCCTATAAAAATTTAAGTGGAAAAGAAGAGATCAATTAAAATGTCGGTGCCACTTAGTAAATGGCATTAGTCAACTTAGTTTTATGACACTGTGTGAACAGAAGTGAGAATATTCAACAGAAATGTGGTGCGGAGTTCCCAGCTTCTTAATCCTTCTGTTTTATTCTTCTACAAAAATCACTTCTTATTTACTTCCCTCAAGATATCCAGAAGAAAAATCTAAAGGGGAAGAAAATATTATTAATCTCTTATTCCTCTCCCAAGGCTCCCTTTTAAAATGCACACATTCTATTTCTGATAACAGTTGAGCTCCAGATTCATCTCACTTCTGTAGTACAACTGTGAATGGGACAAGTAATAAAGTATCAACTTAAAAAATAATCATAGCCTGCGTATGGAATTCCATTTTGACATTATTTGCCATGAATTTTACCTCTAACAAACAGGCTTAAAGTTCACAAATGATGTCTTGGCTGCTTATACTTATGCTCAAGTATCAAGGTGGCATTTTGCATGTTCATAAGGCAGTATTAACCTCATGGCAGCTGCCAAACAAAAGTAGGGTTAGAAATTCAGCCTGCATTCTGTTGTTTGGAAAGACTGAAACTCAAAACTTTCACACTTATGTTCCTAAAATTAGACACTAACTCATTTCCTGACAGAGACATGGAGCACCTTCAATACTCATTTATTTCAAAGGAAATCATTGGTTCTCTGTCTCTGTGATATGAGGTCACTACGTTTATATTTGATCTACCATATGTTTTGTTTTTTTTAAGCCCTGTATTGTGGTTGCAAATTACTTTTTACATTTGATTGATTCTGCTGATCCTTCCTTTATATGATAAAAGAAAATTAATAGTCCATGGACAAGTAGTTCTCTTCAGATTCTTTCTGTACTTTTAAAATAAGATTATATTGCTCTCGCATAGGATTTTTGTCAGATCAAATAGTAGCGAATTTGGATACTATGAGATATCCAAGTAGCCAATCAAGATAGAAATATGTTTTTATTATATTATTCTTCTGACTTTTTTTTTATAAATGTAGGCTCTCATTCCAACATATTAGACATGCTTTATTTAGCTACAGATCTTCATAACAAATTATAGAATAGAAAATTAAGACCTTGAGCAGCAGCCCTAGAGGTTATAGTAACCTCTTGTAATTCTTTCAGTGTCATATGGGAGTGTCATTGGCTTTGTAATGCCAAGTATTAAACTCGACTATAGTATTCTTCCTGGTACCAAGATCCTCTGACTTTTTTTGGGGGGGTAGCTTTTAATTTTTTACCTTTTTCTATTCTGGTTCTTTTGTAAGATGAAAATGATAGCTTAAAACCATGATTCCATTTTAAAATACACAAGATGCATTTGAGGTGTATACGCAAAAATCTTGGCAACATTGTATAATGCTTGTTCTATACCATATCATGAGTTATAATATCCTAATATGATATTTAGTGATGGGTACCATATTTACTTCAATCCATGATAACCCTGAATTTAATACAACCCCATAATTAGATTATATACATGGAAAATGAATAAATGTTATAATTTTCCATGTAAAGAATTGGAGGGTCATCTTAAATTAATCTCCCTCGCCACTGTGGTGATGAAAGCGGTGGAGAGCAGTGGTAGTGTGGGAGGGCAGGTGATGGGGAGATAGTGGGGAGAAATCAGTGGGGGGTGGGCAGTTGAGGGTCAGGTAGTGGGGGACCTGGTGGGGTACAGGTGGTAAAGGAAGTGCCAGGGGGCACCTACCAGCAATAGCATAATTAGGGGTGCTATTGCTGTTTGACAGTCAGGTCTTTTCTTGATTAAAGGAACTTAGATACTTAATTTTAGGTGTTTGGTTTTCAAACCTTGACTATGCATGGAGTGGTCAACAAAATCAGTTTTGAATACACTGATCCCTCTGTGAAAACCAGGACTAATTGTACAATACAAAAAAAAAAAAAAGCCAAAAACCCCCCAGGTGGAACCCAGTTGGTGTCTAAGGTGCCATACTGCTCTAGCATCTAACAGGGTGTCATTCAGTGCAGAGAGTATTAGGGGCAGCAAAATGTTTACAGATAGTTAACTATATGTAGTATGGATATTTTTTAGTTTACCTAGGGCAGGAAAAGGCTAACTTTGGCACCAATACAATACATATAGTACAGTAGCTAATAAAATCTTGTTGGACTTATTTTCCATGGTCATTTGGCGACTACTTGACTTTGATAATTCCTCCCCTGCCCCTCCCCCACACCAAACTATTTAAAAATATAGGACTATTATATAAATTCTTTGAAAACTACAGAACATCTTGTTGCAAACAAATCAATATCCTAACTGATCTTGTCACAAAGGGAAGTCGTAAAACAGACTACATATTTGCAGATAATAAGAAAATGTGCGCATCTTGGACATAGGGTATTTCTGTTTTTAAAAAATGCATAATTTAATAAGTAATTTTACAGGAGACAACTCAAAAATAAAATTTTGCATATGGTAAAGTACCAAAGCCAAAAGAGCTTGACATGTCACAGCATGTATCATGCCTCAAAATGATGAATGTAATATATTATGAAGTTTTATAACCTGTCACTACATTAGATGTCAGCCTGTTCAGTCTGAAGAAGTCTGATTGTTTAGGAAGTGTAGAAGAGGAAACGGGTGTTTGTCTCTTGTTAAGCATTTATGGCAACTTCAAATCCCTCCTTAAGAACTAGATTGGGATGCCCCTTCCTTGTGCTGAATAGTAAACTTACATAATCGCTGGTCCCACTAAAAATCAATTTTGAGTGTATAACAAGACATCAGTGTAGCAACCTTGACTTAAAACTCAGATGATGTATTATATGAAATGTAAAGGAGGCTTGTGCATAGGCAAGGTATGTGTTGGGAAAGTCTTGCTTCCAAGTGTTATTTGCCTAGATCCTGAAACCTATACTTACAGTAAATAGCAACATAACTATTACTGTTTCCAATCCAGAGCTTCGTGTATACAATTGGCTCAGGATTTCTGCACAGCACTGCCATGAGTGATGCTCACAAGATTTAGGCCTTTATTTATGTAACTGAAATTCAAAATGTCATCATATTATCTGAAAAGATATAATTGTAATAAAATATGTTTATTACTTTCTTTTGTAATAAATATGAATTGAGAAGCATGACTAACTAAACTTGTGGATGATTTTTTTAAAGGTCTATTTGTGGTAAAATATTCTGTATGAAAAAGAAAAGGATTTAAAAAAAAAAAAAAGAGGAAAGACAACCAGGGATTTGAGAGAAGCATTTTTTACATTGTGTACCACCTTAATCTGAGCTATCACCAGTAAAGAGTTGTTGGAAATGGCTTGACATTTATGCATTTCCTTTTGACATTATCAGGGTTAATTAAGTGATAACCTTCCCAGTAGTGGAACATGTATGAGGCAATAATATCACCTGGGCTCATAACTGCCAAAACAACGTAAGAAATGTTTACTGCTGTGTGAAATGCTCTGGTACCTATTATGCAGTAATTTTTAAAAAAAGAAAGGGAAACGAAGAGCGTTGATGTTTTGAATCACTTCATGTTAGCAGACTGCAGAATGAAATGGCCAAGTAAAACAGCCTTATAGGCATCTTGAAGAAAAATATACACTTCTTGAAGGAAAAAAAAAAATATACATTCCACAATGTAATACGCTTCCATTCTTAAGAGCAACACAATGTAGCCCTTAGTCACATTAGTGACAATTCACATGAAAAATCTCACTGAAATCAATGAGAGTGAGATTAGAAGTTAAAATTAAACCTTGTTAAGGGCTTTTAAAACATGAAGGATCACACATTCATGCTTGTTAACAAGTGTTAAGTGCCCTTTAGGTATCCTAAAATTACGCCTTTTAAAGTGAGGGTTATCTTTGAAGTGTGCTAACCAGTTTGACCTAGCCTAACTTCTCATTGTTCACAGATCAAACAACCAATTGATAGTCCTTCAACATCCCAGGAGGCATTGTTCCCAGGTCAGGTGGATTAGCTGTCCTCCTGGACTCTGAAGCTGCCTCCCATCCCATCCCTCACCACAGTGACAACCTGGACAGAGGAGCTGCAGCTGGTGAGTAGGGAGAGAAACTACCAGGCTGCTGGCTGGAAAGGTGTGTGCACAGCACAAAACACGCATTCCCTTGCATGCACAACACGCATTCACACAGCACACACTTGAACATGAGTGGTGGAGGTGTGTGTGGGTGTATGTGTGCATGCACACATAAAGAGTTAGCCTCTGGCTGCTCCCCAGTGGTGACAGGGGGCTCGCTGCATGTTCCTGGGTTCTGCTCAGCACTGCACAGACAAGAATGGCTTCCCTCCCACTCTTCACTGCGAGATCCAGCTATGATGCTCAGTGGGAGCCAAAGACAAGTCTGGGACTAGGGTGAGGGATGGGGGAGAGAGAACAGGAGATGTGCTGAGCGGTGTATGTGTGTGTGTGCTGTGCTATAATGTGGTTGTGTATGTTGCTGCTAGAGCTGGCAAGTGGGGCAGGCATATAGTGCATATTACAGAAGGTATTAACCCTGAACATGCCACTGCTTTCAGCACTTGCAAACCCTTTAAGGAATGTTTGGCTGTTACTTAGCAGGTGCTAACTGCAATGTGTAAGCACACCCTGAGACTACTTGTATAATGCAGGGCTGTACAAACAAACACTAGCATTCTGTACTTTGCACAGAACCATTCATCTGAGAATTTTTAAATCAGTTACAAGTATTAAGCTTCACAACTTATTTTTAGTGGTATCTTTAAATTAATAATGTATCTTACAAATGGGAAATTAGAGCAAGCATTTCATACTTTTAGAATGAGCAAGCCATGGAGCCAATCACATAATGAGCCTAGGAAAATGCATCGAAGACCTAGAAATTCTGATTTCCCCACACTTCCATTGAAAACCATATATTGTGGAACCTGCAAAGATAGCCTGCTTGACTGAAGAAAAAAAAATGGTGTTCTGTAAGTTTATACTGGTAAGAGTGTTTACAAGGGAGTGAGAAAAGGTAGTAGGAAGCATGGAAGAATGAAACAGTAATATGAAAGCAGGAGACTCATAAAGATTTATTAAACTAAAGTTTTAAAGGTAAAACTATGAGAGGAAAAGGTTTCATAGAAGATAATCTTGAAGTGGATCTATTTGAAATAGCAGCTGGAAATAGAGAGTGATGAGCTGCAAGGGTTGGTAATAAAGGTGAAATCTGAACAACACACAGGAAGGTGTGGGCAGGAACTAGCTGAAGATGGCAATCTTGTTGATGTAGGCCACTGCAAACTTCTTGAATCCTTGTGGAAAGTTATTAATCAGTCTTTGAAAGGAAGCAGGAGAACTGTGCATATTAAAAGGGAAGACTGTGAACTCAAACAGTCCCAAAAGCATGGTAGAGGCAGACTTGGCTATAGCACTGAGATCCAGTGCCATCTTCCAGAATACTTTGGATAGCTTGAGAGTAGAGATGAACTTGGCTAGGCTCAGGGTGTTGAGCAGAAAGTCCATCCTGGGCACAGGGTAAGCGTCGGGGGTGGTGATTGCATTAGTCTTCCTGTAGTCCACACAGAACCTGATGGACCCATCTTGCTTTTCAAAAAGTACCACAGGGCTTGCCCAGAGACTTGCTGAAGGCTGTATTACCCCTAGGTTTTGCATGTTGGTGAGCTCATGTTTTATCTCCTTCAGCACCTTCCTATTTACTGGGTAGGGCATTGAATGGATGGGACAATGGTTGCCAGGGTCTAGTGTGTGCTGCCAGGTCTGTCCTACCATGTCATAAAATCCACAAGAGTTAGGATATATTTCTTCCCTCTCTGAGTTTTATGCCTCAGAGGGCCCACAATACTTATCTCTACTCTTTGGAAGGCCTGATCAATGATAGGGAGGGGCTGCAGGGGACCTCTTCTCTTATCACCACTCTTGCCTATCCTCTGGCATGTCCCACCTGATCTACAATATTCTATCATATTCTGGACTAGCCTGAGCCAATAAAACCAGCCACTGGCAAGTGTGGCCCCCTGCCCAGGTGACTGGCACAGGGTAAGTCATGAGGCATGGCAAGCAGCTGCTACCTAAATTTATGTGGTACCACTAGCTGGCAATAGGGCTCCCAGGACATGACATGGTTCTTAGATACCCATAGCTGATAAAATAAGTCCCTTATCCCAGACTACCTGTTCTCTCTTATCCAGGGTGAATTCAGTTTCTTGTTCCTGGGCCATCCATCAGAGTTCTTTCAAGCTGGGGTCTGCTAGAACCTCCTGCTTAAACTTCTCTTGCCCAGCTAGGCAATCAGTGGGGAGCTCAGATGCTTCCCTAAGGGATGTCTCTTCCTCCATAGGACTTTTCTCTGCCACTGATGGACTGTGCCTCTCCCCGGGGATGTCAGATCCCTCAGTGGCTGGCTGGGTGCCACTGTTCAGGAGGTATTCCTCTTTTGTCCCTCTTACCCCCATAGCCAACAGGGTTATCCGATTCTGGGAGGCTTCCTCACCTCCCATCTCTGCCTTCTTGCTCTGACTGCGAGTCACTGAATTAATGTGAAAGGGTTTTATAATATTCCCCCATGCCACTCTCATATGTTTGGGCTTTAATCAATGACACAGTGGCCCCTGGGTCCATTTCCCTGATGATGGTTCTCCTGTGTACTTTTATCTCCTCCCTCTGGGAAGCTGTCACCTCCTCTGAGTCTGTAATCCTGAAGATACAGGTACACCCCTCAGAGTGGCTCAGGGTTCCCTTCTGTTTGCACATAGCTGTTACTTGGTTGACAGGCTTACTGGGGTTGCTCAGCTTTGGGAAGTTGGCCTTGAAATGACCAGACTTGTCACAGTTGAAGCAACCCCTCCCATCTGATCTAGGTGTATTGACTGAATCCAGGGCCACCCTGCACTCTGCAGGGGGGGGGGGGGGGGGGGGCCAACCCCACCCA